ACTCTTCATCCTATCATTAAGACTACGCTCGGAACTATCCGCTATCGTAATTTTCTACAACATAGATAAAAAAGGAAGAACCATCAGGATTCCAAACTTATACAAGTACTTTCAGTACTAAGGGCATGTATTCACTGACATCTCACTATACCCAACCACTAGATCCTAAGACGGACTCAACCTAAGCTCTAATACCAATAAATGTAACATCCTAAACCTGAATAGGCCTACAGCGCTATATGGGCTGCTAGGGTAACCATTGATTTAAGAAAAACTTTTTTTTATTTCTTTTTAAAACGTACTATATGGTACCAAAATAGACATGCATGATAGTTATAAAAACATATTTACAAATTGGAGCTCGGTGACACATAGTTTATATCAAGTAATACAACTCAAAGTTTGATAATCCAAAAACATAAGTAAGGGTCCTATGAATACACATGCCCACTAAAAGTTACAGTATAATACTCGAGAAGAGATACTAAAAATCCTATGACGACGGTGCTCCACAAATGGAAACATCGGTAATCACATATGATACATTTCTAGTATCCGATCTCATATAGCTATCAGATACTAGATAACTAAGGGAACTCTGTAATCACATAACATCATTAAAATTCCCATTAAGCTATTGAACGATCTCTTAATCTCACAAAACATTCAAGTATATCATAGAGAGAAACCCGATAATCACATAGCCTCGGTATAATTCATGCTCAACTGAAGCATTGGCTCGGCCTCACATAGTAATCAAGCCAAACTTTAAGGATATTTTTTGTACTATATTGATAAAACTACATATGAATATCTAAGTGCCCAAAGGTCACACATCACTAACAATGTCCCATTAGGACAACTAAGGTAGCCTAGCTACACACTAGCATAACTCGTCACACTTAAGTGAGGTCATCCCTCACTAGCTGATAATATCGCACTCATTCTCTAATCTAAAATGTTGCAAGGGTTTATTAGTCTTTCACATCTATTAGTTCATTAAGTTCCTCTATTTTAGTCATTTAACACTCGAGGCTTTTTAGTCATTTTTATCTCTAAGGAGGTTTCTATGCATTTTATGATTTTACTATAATTATTGTTTTTGTTTTAAACTTCTTGTATTATTTACCAACTCGACTTGGGTTCATTTCAAGGATTGCCCAACATGGCTCGCTTAACTTTTTGTTGCTTTGTACAAAAGAATCAAGTTTTCAGCAAAGAATAAATGGGATAAGTGAGGTCCCCCATAGGGGAGGATAATCGATTTCCAAAGGTCGACGTCCCAGGCACAGTGAAAGCTTTGACCCAGACATTCTATGCAAAGAACAAAGAGGTAGCGGAGAGTGGACACCCTTGGAGAGTACCTCTATTAGGGTTGAATTGATCCGAGAGAGAGTCATTCCAGAAAATTTAAAAAGAAAAATAAGTGACTGGGTCCATGAATACGATGAATATTCTTCGGATACCCCATATCCGAAATGTAATCAGAGAGGAAACCGTACCCAACTCCATCGTAGGCCTTCCCAAGATTAACTTCCAAAGTCATCCATTTAGTTTTCCCTAATTTCTTCTCTCTTATAGAGTAAATGACCTCCTGCACTATTTAAATGTTGTTTGTAGTGTTCTGACTGGAAATAAAGCTAGATTGAATGAGGGCGGAATTTTAGAAAAAATACCTTTGAACTTATTAGCTATAACTTTCGTCACCAGTTTGTAAAGAACAGTACACAAACTGATTGACCTGAAGTCAGAGAAAGATTTAGGACTGTTGACTTTTGGGATCAGAACCAAAATAGCCTTATTAAGCTCTGGCTTCATCGGTTTACCATCAAAGATATCCTTAACCTAGTTGCATACCGAATTATCCATTGTATCCCTCTGGCTTTGAATAAAAAGAGCATGGAGTCCATCTTTACCCGAAGACTTGAGCAAATTGATATCAAAAGGAGCACGTTTGATTTTCTTATCAGACACTTTGGCTTTAAAGAGCTGAAAATACATAGTCGAGAAATGATAAAAACACTCTTTGCAAGTTTTCTTCCTAGAGAGAGCACGTTTGTAACAAAATTCGTATTTCGGTCACCCTTTGCCAACCAGGTGTTTCTTGACTTCTGTTTCCATAATAATTCTTTACGACCAAGGATTTCCTTCAAATTGGTTTGCAAGTCAATATCCACAGCTTGAAGGTTTTCATTAGCATTCTTGTCCATCATCGCTTGAACATAGGATATTTGCTTTGAGTTTTTTTATTTCCTTTTTGAGTTTTTTCTTCTCTTGAATAATATGGCCGAAGACATCATTGTTCCAATATCTAAGAGCCTCAGTGAAATTATTAATAGCAATATGCATATTGCACTCGGCATACCAATTATCTCTGACAAAGGATTTGAACTTATGATGCTTTGTCCAACCTGCAAGAAAAGAAACGGTCTCGACACAGATCTGTTCGACATGTTTGAGGAACGAAGTAGAATATGTCTATGATCTGATTTTAAGCAGGGAAGATCATAAACAGTTGCAATAGGAGCTATTATGTTCCGATTGTCATTGGCGACCATTCTGTCCAAGCGTTAAAAGGTCCTTCCACGATTCCAAGTAAAACGATTTCATTTAAAGAAAAGATTCATAAGATTGTGTTGGTGTAAGAACTCTTGAAAAATGTCTACACCTCATTCCTCTACGATTACCTCCTGCCTTGTCTGAGCTTGAGAGAATGGCATTAAAGTCCCCACCTAAAATCCAGGGGATGCCGTTACCAATTTGAATGCCACTAAGATCCCATCAAAGAGCTTTGTGTTTATACCTGTCAGGACTACCATAGACAATGGTTACCAAAATGGGAGAAAGACCATTTGTACCAGTAACTTTTGTATGGATATATTGCGGATGAGTTGCCAAAACGTTAACCAAAATAGAAGAATTCCAAAAGATCCAGATTCCTCCTAAGAATCCAATGGTCTTCACCTTGGAAGAGAACTCAAAACAGAGCTTTACGATAATCTTGTTAGCTTTGCACCCGCGGTGAACACTAAAGAAGTTTGATGGTTCAAGGGGGGTATCCGACGAAAGGGAGCTCAAATGGGAAGTAACCACCTTGTGTAAGTTGGGATCAAGGGTCGTCTGAAGAACCTGCCCTTTTACACCTAGAGAGTTTTCAGTAGGTACAGTATGATCATTTCCAGAGAGTCGTGGAGGTGGCAGCTTGAAGAGGTACATTAACGTCGAGTACATGCATGGATTTCCATGTGGGCCTAAGTATGGGGAACGGTTTTCCACAGGTCTATGTCCTGTTATTTGGACTTTCTTGGGACCTACCTCACGAGTTGGTTTATTTGTTTGCCTCTTGGTCTCTGTGAATGGTAAGTTGTGTTAGCAATTTGTGGTCTTGGGGTGAGCGTGATTTTTGCCTCAGGTTTTGGTCGTCGGTTTACCAATAGAAAGGGGAGGTACGGCTAGCTCATAGGGGATCTCTTTATTTTTAGAATAGATTATGAGAGCAACATCTTCACTATTCTCTCCTAGCTTTTTCTCTCTTGGAGATTGCTTTGACTTTCCTTTGAAAGTGAGATCCTCATTCGACGCCTATAATCGGGAGCTGAAATTGGTGGTATCTTTGCTAGTTTCCATTTTTCTCTGTTCCAACAAGTGGTTGCCGGTGTCATTTCTTAACAATCATTCAAGGACTGTACAATTCTTCCTTCACCGGTTTAGAGTTGTTAGTGGTCAAGTTTGTCTGTATGCTTCTACTGGAATTGGCAACATGAGGATTCAAGTTTTGGTCTATAGTCACGTTATCTCTGTCGTTTTGTTCTAGGCTGGAGAAGGAACAAGTTTCCTTCATATGACCAAATCTCCAACATGAAAAGCAAATGAGTGGGAGGTTTTCATATTCAATAATTTGGATTTTGTTTCTAATGACCACTCGAGACACGAAGGGTTGCTTCAAGTTCACGTACACAACCAATCGGGCAAATCGTCTTCTATTGCAGGTATTTTTATGGAAGTCTAATTTCACCACCTACCCCACTAGCTTGCCAATGCCCATCAAAATTAAATTCTTATACTTATACTCGGGGAGCAGCCTATTACCCTACCTCCCCCTTACCCCATTACATATGGGAATAGAGTCAGCTAATTTTTTATACTCGGGGAGTCTTGAAAATCGGATCCAAGCGATGACCGTAGTGGGGTAGGGTTGGGAAGTACTAAAATCCATTGTCCATGGTTGGACTGCCAGATATTGGCCATATATGATCCAAAGTCCTTCAGCCAGAACCTTTCTCTAGTCTTCATCCAGTTGAAACCTTGCTAAGAAATAATCATTCTTGAGATCCATGAGCGTAAATGGTTGAGCGAGAGCGCATAAGCTTTATTTGTAAGAGCATTCAAGCCAATATTTCATCCTGGAAGCTTCAGCACAACTATTCTGGTCATACTGGCTTCCATTTGCTTGTACGCTCGATCTGAGAACTAGATAGATGGGAGCCCAAAACGAGTTCAAGTTATGATGTCTTCGTTTGTGATATCAATGTCCTCTTCATCCTCCTCTTGGGCTTCACCATTTTCAGAGACGCGGCTCGGCTTACCAGCTAGGATCGATGCGTATGTCTGTGAAACAACCTCTTGGCTATCAATTAATATATCTGAATCCTGATTGATCTCATCCTATGTTCTTTAAAACACGTATTTATTGATGATGTATAAAATTAGCAATATTTAATCATCTAATTTATTTATTTACTTATTGATTATGTATAAAATTATACACGATCAACACGTATTTATCTCCGCTACATATTGTAGGAGGTTTAACCTTTTGTACACTTAAGAAGAATCTGCTTAGGGAATTGCTTTTTGAAACACTAACAAAAGTAGCTCTCATAGTGATCCATTTGAGAACTGAGAATCATAATTTAACTTCATAAATTTGTTCAAAAAATATGTTCTGATTCTATTTGTCTTAAAAAGAGTAAATGCACATAAGAATTACAAATTAAGGGTACATAAAATGAAGATATGTTTATGTTATAAAGATACCCATCTCACTGTTAAGGCAATCAGTATATTGTTCATCATCTTCCTCTAGCAGAGAACGCAACCAGCTGGTTCATCCTGAACATATTTACCGCCACTGTAGTAATCGGGCACTGTAGCGTAGTTATATATGGGCATTTGAGGATGATATACCATCGGATAGGGGTAAGCTGAAGGTGCTTTTGGGGCATCTTTCTTACTTTCTTCTACTTTCTTGGGCTCCTCTTTCTTTGGCTCTTCTTTCTTTTTCTCTGGTTCTTTTGCTGGTCCAACCGAAACTATCTCAGCATGACAAAGCTTCCTTAATTTGCTCACTGCCTTCACTGGATCAATGTCTCCTATCACTGTCAATTTTTGGTCTTTCGTGTCGAAGGAAACTGATTCAACCCCTGCAACATTAAGCGTATGCAAGTTAGTTTTGAAAAATATTAAGTGAAAGAAACTAGGACCGAATATACAGACCTGAAAGGCCAGAGGCTGTTTTCATGGCCTTTTGTCTGCATTTGTTGTCGTGCAAATCCAATTTCAGCACAACTTTCTGTCAAAAAAAAACAAAACCAGTTGTCGTTAGCTTTCATGCTTTTCTATGTTTATGTGCGTGTTGAAAAGCAAAGAGAAAGGCAAAGATGGAAATCTAACCTTCATTTTCTAGCTTTGAGAATGGAAATGAGTGATTAATAACAAAGAAGTGTGTAGGCAACTCTTGATTGCTTCAACTTCGATTGGAGGGTACACACGTATTTATGGTGAGCCAGGTCAGAAAATAAAGTGAGCGTTTGGTTCGTGGAAGACACGGCAGAACTGTAGATGACGTCGTTCCAAACCCATTTTTGAAAAGTAGATGTTCCAAGTGAAGGAGGAGAAAAGTAGTCAGAATTATAATAATTGTTTTAATCCAAGAAATTTCTTGAAACCATCCAGCTTAGGAGACTCAACGCGCTATTGTTTCTGGTCAATGGATTTCAATATGTAGGGCGAAGCACAGTGAAGCGCATGTGGCATGGTTTTCTAGGAGTAGTTCATGTTTCCTTCTATGCCAGCCTTGGTGGTGATTGGTTATCTCTCTTTGTTAATCATTTGTTAGAAAGGAAGAACTTGAATTTTGGTGGGTGATTGGTCAAAACCTGAAATACTAGTCTTTATGAATATTCTCGCCTGCTTTAATGATATCACCAAAGGAGAATTTTATTCAAACCTCTCTGTTCTGGGCTTATTTGAATCAAATGGCTGAACCATATTTTGGAAAATAAAATTTACAATATTTATAAATTTAGTTAATTAATTATTAAACCCTTAAATTAATTGAGTCGAAAATTGATAATCTCACCGATTTTACCATCAATCTCATTGTTTCACCATTGGTTAAAACTTTTGTTAAGGAGAAATTTAAGGAATTCGCATTTATATTTTCAAAACATCACGTGTGATATTTTAAAACCTCCATGAGGATATTTTCAAACTTCCCATTGTTGAAATTTCACATGAATTTTTCTTTAAAGCACTAAACAATATTGTTTTCAAAAATTTCACACAACTTATTTTCAAAACCTCTCATTAGATTATTTTCTTCCAAATCTGCTAATGAAATTTGTTGTTGTTTTTACTTTCTAGCGTTCTTATTTGTACGATGTAGGAGGTTATTTGTATTTAATAATTAGATTTATTAAATTATTTTGTATGAAGTTTTGGGCAAATTAAGAAATTGTGTTGAGTCAACCGAAAGGATGAAATAGCCAAGAGGGGATGAATTAACAATAAAAAAATTTGGTGGAAGCTTAAGAGAAAAAATTAAACAAATGAATACAAGAATTTAGAGTGGTTCGACTTTATCAACCAAAGTCTACATCCACTACCTTAGCTATCCACACTAAGGATTTCCACAAATTCACTAACTTGTATCTACCTTTGAGGATAAGGTGTAACCTTACAACTCCCTCAAAAATTATACCCCAAATTCTTAAGACAATTTCTTAAAGAGAAAATTACAAATTGCAAACTTATAAAATTCTCACTAGGAATGTGTTTGCACAATTCAAGAACAAATAAGAACACTTGAGAAATGAATACAAATGAGTACATGTAGTGTTCTTTGAAAGCAAAAAGAATATTCAAGAATGTTGACTTGATTTGGCTCAAATTTGTTGTTTATGACTTTCTCTTTTGTCTCTTATATTCACAAATGACTTGGGATCATGTTTATATACTCCCTCAATCAATTCCAACCGTTTGAGTTGTTGTGGGAGTGAATAGAGCCGTTGGGGGCAGTTTCTCGCATTAAATGCTGCCCAGAAGCTTGTAGTATCGGTACTCCGTCTATCAGCATCGATACTCCCTACATTAAATACAAAAGTTTGACCGTTGGGAACCTCCGGTATCGATACTGTCACAAGGGTATTAGTACTATTATATTCAGTAGTATCGATATTGTACATAGTATTATTACCATTTTAGTAAACTGGAATTTAACGGACTCGAAACCAAAAAGGTAGTATCGGTACCATCACTAAGAGTATCAGTACCATCACTAAGAGTATCAGTACTACTACACTAAGTAGTATCGATACTACATCATTGTTTTGCGCTTCAGCATCGATATTTGTATCGATAGTTCTTGAACAGTATCGGTATTGTTCTAGTAGTATCAATACTACTATGCTTAAAAATCATTTTTGACTCGATTAAAGTTTGAAACTCTTAGTAAAAATTATTTCAAAAATATTTCCAGTATAGGACTCAAATTTTCAGTATAGTGGGGAGTAAAAATTGACATCTTAACTTTAAAGAATAATTTTATATATTTGAATGACTGAATCGAATATAATCTTAAAATTTGTAAAAACCAATTAACAATTTTGTTTGTATATCAAAATATCAAAGTTTTTTCAACAATCTCTCCCTTTTTGATATAACAAAAATTTAGAAACTTTTAAGATTTACTTGAAAAAAATACTTACAGGTTTACTTGAAAAAATACTTCCCTTTACTTTAACATTTCTCTCCCTTTTTGTTAAATCAAAAAGATCCAATAAAGAATAATCAAGATATAGAATATAGATAAGAAGAACAAATGTATCAAATAGGTCAGTCAACATAATTAATATCCAAAATATAGTGGGCATGGTCATAATAAGTGGAAACATGGCTAAAAAATGCGAAATATGATAAACATAAATCTGATCATCCAAAACATAAAAGTATTACCAAGTCCAAAATATCAAAGGCTAAGAAATTCAAAGAAAAATGTAAGTTCAAAGTATAACATTGCAACACCAACGAAAAAGCAACTAGCAAAGCAAAATCATCAAGCATCCGACGAAGGATCAAGATCTAAAGGGGGTGCACAGAAAGAGGCAAAGTCTCGAGAAAGAGCATCGAGCCTATCCATCACCGTGTCCAATCATTCTTGGATGATGCATCGGGAATCCATATGCATTGCTTGCATCACCTGAGTCCCCAAGGTAGAAAAGTGGGAGTCCATAAATGCAAACCTTAAATCTAATGTCTTCATCATGAATTGAAAATAGGGAGGCATCGCACTACCAGCGCTAGGAGGCTCGTCGGGGACTCGATTTACGGGATCATCAACATCATGTAAAAAATCATCCTCCCGAGGTGGAGTTAGAGCTGGAATCGCTCGAGATGAACTAGCACCAAGTGTCTCTTTTGGTTTCATTTCCCAATTTTCTCCAACTCGAGCCCATCCTGACTTGCGGAGAGAGGTAAGATCGACTGGGGTACCCAAGTGGATAGCAGCATCAAGATCGACATTAAGACCGGATTTTATAAAGAAAATACTAAAAAGATAACCATAAATCAAATATTCAACCCTCTTAGAAGGAATATGATTCATAGTGTTCACTAGTTCATCGAAGATGATTTGAGCAAGATTAATTCTTTTATTTTATTGAAAATAATGGATCCACCATATGGTAATGCTTCAGAAAGATGAATACTTGCCTCCGGATGGTCGAAACCACCAAGAGATAATCACGTGAATGAACCTCTCATGAAAGTTAATGACGCTTGTGCTCTTCCCTACTTCTAAAGATGAAGGGATTGTGTCTCGCTCGTTATCAATCCCGATCTTTTATAGACCAAAAGCACGGGCAATAGAGTCAGAATCAAGAGTAATGTATTCGCCCAAGAGATAGGAACTAATACTTTTTGTGTGAGTACGAGCTTCGTTTTGGACACAAACCGCATTAGAATAGAAAATACGGATGAGTTGGTGATAGACAACGTGTTTGACTTTGAACGTGCTGTCAAATTTCCAAGCTTTGAGAAGGGGTAGGTATTTAAAATTTATGGCGTTCATTGCCGAAATTGAAGGAAAACGCTCACCCCTAAGAGCATAAGATTCGAAATGGTTGAGATATCGTGAATAGAGATTGTGACGATTTGGTTCATTAAAAAATGAATTCACGATGGTCGTTTCATTTGGAATGAGAAGAGGATTTGATGGAGGATTTGACAGAGGATTGAGAGGTGGATTAACACGAGAGGAAGATGATCGAGGATGTTTGTGAGAAATGGTAAGTCGGGATAAAGGTAAAACCTGCAAAGAAAGACAATATAAATGTATGCAATCAATGAATCCCAAAACTCAATATGAGTCCACAATCCAAGGCATTATATAACTAAAATATAATGGGCCAAAAGAAGAATGGTGTTAAGAAAAAAAGTATATATATAAACAAACGTGTAAATAAGTATGAATTATTATTTTTTAAAATTTTGAATGTGAAGAAATTTGTTAAAAAACAATGTATATTCTAGTGTATAAATACAAAATAAGTAAAGCCCATTCACTAATTTAAGCAAAAACTAACTAAAACTAGCTCTAAATTCAAAAAGAAAAAGTTTGGGGTTTAGAAGAAAAAAAAATTACCTTGAAATAGTAGGATTGAGATGGAATTTGATGATGTATGCACAATTTTGATGATACTAGTAGGTTAGAATGATGAAAATAAATGCAAAAACTAACTCCAAAATGATGGGATGAAGTAATGTTTG